GCCCCTGCTCGCAGCAGGCCGCCGGTAGGGAGAGCGGCGTGAAGGTCCTGCGCCCACGGGCTGGGCGGGAGCGAGTCGTGTCTCCGCGGTGCGCTGTCCCGGTTTGCAGGCAAGGGGCTCCTGTGTGAAGGTTGTTGTTTAAGGTGACGGTGTGAAATGGCACGTGGAAGAGGTGTTTTCAGCCCGACTTGGTCACGGGGGACGTTCAGAGCTTTAGTAACAGAGCCCGAGGTACAGCAGTTCATTGCCTTAATGTTTTGTGGCCGCGTCTGTGGCTAAACATTGCTTCCTGAGGGAGGAGCCCCCGAGGAAAACTAATGCAATCAGTGTAATTTGGATCTGCTTTGGTCCTTAGATGGGTACCAGGTGGCTGGATCCGGACTGTTGCCCCCACAGCTCTCTCTTCAAAGCTGCTTTGCCCCCATTCTCAGGGTTCCCAGCTGAGGGAATTGAAGGTTAATTTGGAAGTTCAGCAGATTTGTGAGCTCAAACCAAATCTTGGTATTTGATGTGCAGATAATGTGGTAAAAAGCCCAGTATTTTTACAGGTTTGGAGCTTAAAGTCCTCTATTTGTGAAGGAAAAGCAGTGTCAGTCGTGACACAAGTGCAGGGCAGTTGGTGATGTAGAGGGTTGCATCATCTGAAGGATTTCCAGCAACTCCAACACAAAAGCAGTGAAGGTCAATTTGTGCTGCTGCCACCCTGTGACGTTCCTGGTGGTTGCCCAAACTGTGGGTCTGTCGCTCGGCTGGAACATGCAGTATGTGGATTTTCTTCTTGCTACCAAATTAAAAAGAATCCAAAGAATCCCCTTTGCTTACACACAGCTGGAAAATTCCAGAGCTCATTTCTGAGCTCTCCCATTCTCTGCTTATCAAAGTACTTGCACACATGATAGAAAGGGCTCCGAAGCAGCTACTCAGAGCTTATTTTTCCAGGGTGATGATTAGTAGTGTTGCTTTGGGCTCAGACTCTTCTGTATCTCTAACCCCTTTATTTTCATCTTCCCATTGAAAAAACAAAGGAGCTCTTGGTAAAACATGTCGTGGATCAGAGAGGGCGAGCTGACCATCATAGAGAGATTTTGTGCCAACATCATTAAGGTAAGGAATTAATTTGGTTACCTGTGGTAAGGGACTGGCAGGTTGCTCAGGGTGCAGAGTGGAACTGCCTCTGTGGCTGCTCTGCTCTAGAAGGGCAGTGTTCTAGCAAGGGTGTGTGTTGGTGGTGGCACTGGATGTACATCCCTAAGCATTTGGGGACAGGAGATTACTTAAGCTTCTCATTGCAAATGAGCAAGGCTGTAGGCAGTGCTTGCCAATAATGAGCTTACACTTCCAGGCTTCCATGGTGTGTGCCCTTGCTGATGAAGGCAGGGCACGGGAAGAGAAGGGAGAGAAGCAAGATGGTGGGATTTTGAGTCCTAAGAAATGAAACGGAGTTTCTCTTTATTGGAATAACAACTCACCACTTCCAGGAAAATTCTTTTGCTCAGCAGAGGCTTGAGACTGGTGACAGTGTCCTTGTGAAAGGGTCTGTGCAGACCTGATGGAAAAGAATGCTCATCTGAACTGGGAGAAGGTCTTATGACTTCTTTTGTTTTCTCTGCAGTTAATTGTGCCTGTGAAAATGCCCTTGCACTCTGAAATAAAAAATACTTGCAATAGCAGCAGCATAATTCTGCGTGCACCCTCCCATGGCTGCAGAGAGGTAGCTGTGGCACTGCTGCTTACGACAGCTCTCTGTCACATGACAGAAATAGGGAGGGCCAAGCTGCTGTTCAGTTTAGGCAGATGTCAATACCAACATGCTTTATAGGGAGCCTAAACCGGGGTTAGCAAAGGGGTCATTAGCATTGTGCTCCTTCCAGCTCCAGACTTGAATCTAGGAGGTAACACTGCAATCCTACAACCAGGCAGTGCTGCCAGCAATGGTGGCGCTAAACTCCCTGTGGTGCAAGATGCCAGCTGGGCTGTTTGTTTTCTGCTCTGCTGAGTTTCTGCTTGTTTTCCAGGCAGGTCCAATGCCCAAGCATGTGGCCTTCATCATGGATGGCAACCGCCGTTACGCCCGCAAATGCCACGTGGAGAGGCAGCAGGGACACTCGCAAGGCTTCGATAAGTTGGCGCAGGTGGGAGGACATTTACTGCCTTTGAGTTGTGTGTTGAAAGCTTGAGCCATGTTTACTAGTGTGTTGTGTTCCCTTTCCTCACTGGAATCACGGCTGTGCTTGGAGCTGATGTTAGTCATCAGGGTTCCCAGCTTCACCTCCTCTCTCTCTGCTGTCTTGCAGAGTCATTCTCATCAGCTATTTCTTTCCTGCTCTGTTTTACACTCGATTAAAATACCCACCTTGCAGATCTTGAGGCTTTTAATTCTGTGAAACAAGCTGAATTTCTTTGAAAAGATTTTGAAAGGTATGGTATTAAATAATTCGTCGCATTATCTACAAGAGGTGCTTTCCCCTGACTGGATTAGTCCCATATCTGTTATGGATTCTCATCCTCAGAAGTGCTGTTTTCCTCCTGTTCTTTAAAATGAATCTGAAATTCTCATCAAGTGGGTTTTATTGTCAGCTCTTTGTGGTTCTTTCTTATAATCCAATCTTAGCATAGTGGAAAATAACAGGAAGGTTGTAGCAGTGGAGAAGCTGGGTTTTGCTGACCTGATTGTCTGAGTCTGCTCATCTGGCTTCTATTTTTCACTCTGTTTTGTCTTCTTGCAGACACTGCGGTGGTGTTTAAACCTTGGCATTCGGGAGGTCACTGTTTATGCCTTTAGTATCGAGAACTTTAAACGCTCCAAGGAGGAGGTGGATGGACTAATGGATTTGGCAAGGCAGAAATTTAGCCGCCTACTAGAAGAACAGTAAGAGTCTTCTCATGTCTGTATCCTACAGGGTGGAACTAAAGCAGAACATGATTAGGAGGTGTTTACAGGGATGTTACAAGTTGTGAAAATGGATTAAACGAAGGAAACCATTCTCCATCTGCAGTTTGGGTTGAGGGGCTCTGCCTACCCGGATGGGATATACAGCTCCTGTGTGGGCACAGTCCCCGTGCGCACTGCATCCTATGTCTGTATCCCATGGCTCACTGCACAATCGCGTGCAAGCAGTTGGGACAATACAGCTTTTGAGTAAGCGCAGCACAAATAGGAATGCCTGCTTAGCACTAGATGCTCTGTGCCTTGTTTTCATGAAGTCTCAAAGCCTTGTCTTAAACTCTGTCACAGTATTCTTGGCAGATCAGAGTTGAGCTCAGCAACTTGAGTTGTGGTGACCTGAGACTCCTACGTATGGGCACACTGTGTGTTAAGTGACTTGTTGGAGAACTAGCTCGTGTATGGTGTGTAGATGAAGGTAGTAGAGGTCTGGGTGAGCAAGGAGGGGTGTTACAGTGCTGTGTTGCCCGGTAGATCGCTGGATGTGTTGATTTCCCCATGCCTGACTGGTGCACAGAAGGGGTCTTTATCTGGTCAAAGTAAATTTGAAAGGCAGTGAGGGAGCACAGCTGGAAGAAAAGGAGGGAGAGGATAGCTTGGGTGTGCTGGTAGGAGTTGGGAAGATCAGGGCTATCTGAGCACTGCAATACTTTGCGATTGAAAGAGGCCATTTCCCAACTTTCTACCCAATGCAGCCCTTCATCAGGGAGTTTGTAGCAGCAGACAGACAGCAGCAGGAAGCCATAAGATCCCACAGGATGTTCTGCCTGCTCAGAATATTGCTATAGCAGGCATGGATGATTCCTTGTCTTCTCTGATGTTCACTCCACCACCCTCACTGATATATTAATCTTTCCTTGCAGCAAAAGGTAGCTGTGCCGCTCTGTGGGTGACCATTAGTCATCTTAATTTTTGATTAGTTAGAGATGCCAAGAGTCTATGGTTGTATTCTGAGTTTTCCGTATGGATTTTCATAACTTCAGGTAGGAGTGCCTACTCTGTGATCATTTTCTAGTCCTTTGGTTAGATTTGTACCTCAGGAACTCATATGGGGAGTGATCACTCTCTCTTTATGGAACAGTTTGGGATGATCAAATCTAAGCCAGCTTCAACGCCTGAAAAACATGCGGTCATTTTGCCTTTTTCTAATTCTGAATTTTGCTGAGCTATGCCTACTGCTTCCTGTCTTCACCTGGTTGATGTTACACAAGGCAGATCTGGTGCTTGTGCAGTAGAGAACTGATCTGTTTTCTGTAGTCCTCACTCTTGTTGTTGGGTGTAGGGAGAACTTGAAGAAACATGGTGTGTGCATCCGTGTCCTCGGGGACCTGCCACTTCTGCCCTTGGATATTCAGGAGCTGATTGCGCAAGCTGTGCTGGCAACAAGGAACTACAACAAGTAAGTAACACAGAGCTTGAAGTAGCTGATACCTCACATCTTCTACTTGAAGGTCAAGACTTGGCAGAGATGCCGCACCTTTTTATTAGCTTTGTCTTACAAGCACATGTAACTGATGTAGATATTCCCTCTGTCATCTACCAGACCTTCCTGGGGTTAGTCTTTCACATCTTTCTCCTCTTTTCAGGTGCTTTCTAAATGTTTGCTTTGCATACACATCGAGACATGAAATCAGCAATGCTGTCAGGGAGATGGCATGGGGAGTGGAACAAGGACTGCTCGAGCCCAGGTAACTCTTGTCTTTCTCTGAGAGGTTTCATAGATTAAAAACTGCCTCTCTTCTCACCTACGCTTTGTTACTAACCTCTCAAAAGCCAAGTGCCTTTTATATAGATATCATTAAACCAGTATGACTGGAACAAATGACTTAAAGCTACGATGCAATGTTTGGTTTTTATTATGGCAGTTACCATGGTGATGGATATACAACCAAGACAGAAGAGAAATTAGGTCTGTGTCTTAAGCTAGTTTAAATGTGAAGGCAGACTTTATGCCACAACAATTGGCTGCTTGGCTGGCAGTCTTAGCTATGAGGTCAAACAACAGGTGAATCATGAATACTGAACTGTTCCTCCACCCTGGAGGAGATGGAGTAGTTAGTGTTGTGCTCTCTGCTCCAGATGGAAGTCCTCACAGTCTGGTTCCACCACAAGAGCACGGGGGGAGGGATGCTTTAGGGCCTGAAAGAATGTTTGAAATAGCCTGTGGAACAGACAGCATTGTCTGTCAGAAGCAAGTTGATGACAGGCTGTGGTCCCACTCCACCACCCAGTTTTAATCTGCAGTCCTGTGTTTATAAAAAACCCAAACCCCTCAGTAATTCTGATTTAGTAGTGCCACCTCTGTCGAGTCAGGCAAGTGATCTCAATAAGATGCCTCTGTCTCTCTTAGTGACGTGTCTGAATCGTTGCTTGATAAGTGTCTGTACACCAGCAACTCCCCTGACCCAGACCTCCTGATTCGAACCTCTGGAGAGGTTCGGCTGAGTGATTTCCTGCTCTGGCAGGTAAAGTCTTTGTTTTCTTCTTGACATGTTCCATCTTTATGTCAGAGTGTTCTGCTGACTTCAGGCATGAGCTGACATGAGGGCTCTTAAACTCTCTCTGCCAGGGGTTAGGTAACTTCTTGGATGAACCGAGTGCTGGGGCATCTCTGAGGAACCTGTTTCTTGCAGTTCTATGATTGCCTAAAATACCTTGCAGCATGAGTCTGACACTGTATCATCCTGAAAACAATAGGAACTCACAAATTAGTCTAGCTGACAGCAGCCAAGGAAATCATGAATTGCTCGTCCTTTGCTCCACACGTTTAGGTAATTCCTCATTTGTTAGTAAATTCCTGGCTTTAACTTAACCTGGCAACGTGTTTCCTGGGACGAGGAAGATTTCTAGATTCCTGGGAGAGCTGTTTGTCACACGCCAGCTGGACGTGTAACCCTGTAACATGCATGTGAGGTACATGCTTGACTTGTCACAACTTCAGAAGCTTATTTGACTTTCATACTGAAACAAGACCCCAGAAGATGGGTTCTAAGGATGCCATAGTCAAATCAGCAGGACTAGGCTGCTGAGCTTAAACCTAGTAAGTTCTTAATGCACCTAAAGTTCATGTATTTGCACTTAGAGTATCCAAAGCTGCTTCCATTTCTCTCTCCTTAGCTAGGCCACATTGACTTGTTTGTAACTCAGACTTTGCAGAACATTCGAGTTGAGCTGCTTTACTTAAAGCTAATGTTTTGTTTCACATGTACACAGCCAAAACCCAATTGCCTTTAAGCAACCACATCAAATGTTCTTATTCCAAGTTATTTAATTGGCAGGTTCACAGAAGTTGTCTGGCCTGAGTTGTGGTTGCCTTCCAAGGCACTTCCCTCTCCTCCCTGTGGTTTTGGAGGACCTGTGCTCTTGCCCGTGCCATGGATTACAGCAGGAGCAGCAGAGGAGAATGTGTGCTTGTGCTCCTGCTTTGCCAGCTCATACATGAGAGCATTAGTGCAAATTTCCCTTCATTACCAATTGTGTGTGTCCTGATGGCCCCAAACTAGGAGGAAATTGTGCTTTCCAGATGATTCTCTGATGCTAGGGAAAATGTCTTTATGGTGGTGATTGTATAGAATTGACAGTAACTTTCTGAAGCATCACAATTTTAAGAGTCATGCAGGGTCCATTTAGGTGTTAGATTTTGTAGTAATGGTCATAGGAACACGTTTACCTGAAACTTTGAGGAACCTGATGGCAGAAATAGGTTTTTAATTTGGAAACTTGAATCATGCAGCATTAGAATCAATTCACTGCACCTCTTGGGTTCATTAAGCAGTTTAAATGCCATGAGTGGGCAGTAAGGAACATCACAAGATGTCATTTGATTAAATGTCGTGTCCTGATCCTCAGTTCATCTGTTACTCCTTTAACTCAGCTTCTGCTGGTCCAGTGTTGCTATTTTAGTTTTGTTATAAGTCTGTGATGCTTAAGCTTATAAAATACATCTCTGAAGACCAACACAGCATTAGAAAGAATTCTGCTGGTATCTTTGCAGGAATGGATGACTGGTGCCGCAGCATTTAAAACTAATTAGAAAGATTCTACATGGTGTAATTTCAAACTTTCCTGGCCAGTATTTATTTAATTTGAAGTAGAATCTGATAACACAGCTTAGGTAAAATCTTTATGGGAGATCTGGCATAGTTTGACCAACAGAGCTGTATCTTGATGACTTTTCCCTTGCTAGGTGACTAAATGATTGGTGATCTTGCTTTCTGCAGACATCCCATTCATGCCTGGTGTTTCAGTCAGTCTTGTGGCCAGAATATTCCTTTTGGAACTTGTGTGAGGCTATACTTCGGTTCCAGATGAACTACAGTGCTTTACAGGTAAGGGAGCTGGAGAGGGATAGAAGCTCAACACATGTTACCTGCACAGCAACGTGCTGAAGATCAGGTGAGAGTGTGTCAGGTGGGCACAGAGGGACTGTTCATTCAGTGTGGTTGGTTAATCTTGTTTCAGTAGCAGGTAATGTTGGATGCGTGGCGTCTCCTGTACCTGTGTGGCTCTTTGTATCTTAGCATGTGGCCAGACTCCTCTCTTTTGAAGAATACCTAAAATATCTGAAGTCATCACTGTCTCTATTACTCATTGCTCATTCCACCAGCTGGAAGTATCTGTCTGCACTCCTCAGCTGACAGGACAGAATAGGGAAGCACACCTCATTTGCTACAGGATAAAATCAGCCAGTTCAACTCAAACCACTTCAGCAGTGGTTTGAGCAAAGACTGCTGAGTTCACTGTGGAATGAGCAGGGAGTATCTACCTGTTATTCCTCCAACTCTATTGCTTCTAGGCTTGTAACAAGTGGATTTAGAGTTTCCTTTCTGGGACCTGAAGTGAGGCTGCCTGCATTGTGAGACTGTAGACAATTGTCCTCTTTCTGGTGGCTCCAGATGTGCCTACTTGAGGTTGTTCCTGTTGCTTGCTGTCACTGTTCTTCTCCTCTTAGATCTGTTGTCGTGAGCTCTCCCTGACCTGGTGCAGATAAATCTGGCCAACTTAGTAGTGATTTAATAATCTGGTTATTTTTAAGTAAAACAAGTTTGGGAGCTGGAGCTCCTGATGGGGAAATGGGGGGGGGGGGCGAAGCAGCTGGTAGCACCAAGACAACAGTGACTGGCAGGAGAAGGAACTCAGTGTGGTGACTCTTACCTCCGCTGTATCTGGTTGCCCAGTGTGTGTGTGTTCCTTAATTATTTGGGACCTCTCTTTTTAGAGGCAGGCATTATTTTGCCCTTTTCTACCTGCAGGGACCTTGCTTACCTGTGAGAGCTGTCAAAGATTGCAGACAGCTGTGGTTATGGGTGAATTTAATCAGGTCCGGTCAGTCTGGAAGCATCCAAATACTCCACGTCCTTAACCTCTCTAATTCCTGTTTCTGCCCTTTTCCTACCAGCGACTCATTGTATTAGTGCAACTAATGACAATTCACCTTCTGCATGAAAAGCAAAAAAGGCAGTAGTGTTTGTCATTGGCATCAGCTTGGCCTCTGTCTTGAACAGTATTGAACAGTAAGGTCACTGTTCTGCCTTTGCTCCTAGTGCTCATTTCTGATGGGTAACAAATGCTGCTTCTGTTCTCAGCTTGTCTCGTCTTTTCTTCGTTCTCATTTGTGGCTCTGTGTGTTCATGTTATGCTATTATCAAGGTTTCTTATTGTCCAGCTTTGTTCTTTGGGTAGTTTTCTTGCTGTAACATCCACTTTGCAGTATATAAGGCTGCCCTTTTCTCGAGGGATGCAATCCAGTTGTGCAAAAGAGAGGACATGTTGCTCAAAAAAAACTTGATCAGATTTAGGACCTGGGGGGGGGTTGCATTTAAATAGGTGATCTTGAAATCACGCTTGAAAGCCAGAAGTGTCTGGAGCTCTCGAAACAAATTACCTTGGTGGAAGGGTTGCTTGTCTGTGAGGTTGGTGGGGCTCAGGGGCTGATTTGCTGAGAAACCACAGTATATAGCAGTAGCTATGTCTGCTTTGGGAGAGTGCTGCTGTGTTGAGGACACTGCAGACAGTTACAGTGTGGATAGGCAGCTGGATGGAAGGTTTAACAAGGTACCTAAAAAAACCCAAACCCAACCTTGATTTGGAGGTATTGACAAAAACTGTCCTTCCATCCACTCACAGCATCACCCTTAGTGGCTATCTTCATTTCCCAGTTAGTCTGCTGCTCAAGGGAGTCTCCTGGCTGGTTGCTGGTCCCCACTTAGTCCCAGGATTAGCTGTAACCCACTTCTGATGTGTGGTGGGCCCAGGAAGAGGGTCCAGATGTTGGCTGGCAAAGCTGCCCTGTGGAAGGGGTCATGCCAAGCCCTTTCTGGTGAACAGGCAGAATTTCACTCTGTTCAGGGGTGGAACAGGCTGATGATCTCTGCATTTCAACTAAGCAGAGCTGCAGCAGTGGAGTGCTATCAATTCAGTGGGCTTTCTGTAGCTAGGGATATTTCTACTCTTGTTCCCAGCACAACAAAAGCTAATTTACAGTGCCACAGCGTAGACTGGGGCACGGGGAAAGTGTGGGGAAGAGTGAGTCAGGCTTTCATTAGAATAATTCTTTCTTCTTGCTTGTTTGAAAGGCCAGCACTCCCCAGTGTGTGTGTGTCGGGTTATGTCACAGTGACCAGTTCTGTTCTTGTTTTGCTAAAACTGGAGGCTGAATATTCCTGCCTGCAGATGTGTATTTGCTGTTGGAGGCTGCAGGTTATGAAATGTGCAATAAGAAGAAATCCCAAAGTGATGCTCTGCAAAAATACCTCAGATCGTTGAAGGGTGGGCAAGGATAGCTACTGCCTCTACTTTTCTTCTGCCCATCCTGCTGTGTCTGGAGCCAGGACATTGTTAGATCGCAGGTGTTTGGCAATACTGAGCCTATTCATGCTTTGCTGAAGCTGATTTAGCTCAATACCTGGTCATCTGCTCAAAGAATTGTCCCATAAATGATTGTTCTGAATCCTCTAACCCCTTTCAGCTGCCATGTGAATAGAATCAAAGATTCTGCAATGACACTGGTGAGGATAGATTGTGTGCACGTCCATGGTTTGAAAGTCCTCTTGTATGCTGTTCCTCTCAGATTCCAGTATCTGAGGGTTTCTTCACAGTCTGTATGACCTTTAACTATTTAACCTAGGAGCTAATGCTGTGAGCGGACTTGGCTCTTGGGGAGAAGGTCCAGAAGCATATCCCTGTATCTCTTTATAACCACTCAAGCAGGAGGAGGCACGTGCGGAGCCACCCTTCATTTAACCTGCAGCTTGATGGCTCAAGCAGAGGCTGTTTCTTCCATGACCTATGCTGTTTGACCACAGATGAGCTAAAAGGCCTGCTAAAGTGCTAACACTCTACTGCTTTTCACTCTAGAAGGCCAGAGACTCCTACATGGAGGAAAGGAGGAGACAACAGATGGAAAGGGATCAGGCTTATGTGGCAAAGAAGCTGCAGCAGGAGGGGGTTGTGTCCCACGGAGACTCTCGGCGCCGATGGACGCTGTTGCAGAAATGCACCGCCATGAGGGAGGAGAGAATCCAGAGCTTCCTGCAGGCACTAGAGCACAAGAGAGCAGACTTCTTTGAGAGATTGTGTTCGGTGTCCGCATGACACAGGTGCTGGGTTCTTCATGGGAAGACCATTTTAATCTGTGTTAGAGGGAACAGCTGCTGCCCTGAGGAATTCACTCGCTGTGGGGACACAGGGCTGCTTTAGGACTTGTCCGTGCTGGCCCTGACCAAGGGCAGGGACAGAGAGTACTGTGAACCCTTCTAGTTCTGTGAGTGCTGCTGAGGAAGGTAACGCCGTCCTGACTCGCCTCCCTGCCCCTGGTGATGGAGAACAAGCACACCCCACTGTATCTCTGCTGCTTGGTACTTTACAGGTCTGGGGGTTTTGGTGTGAGAAATTAACTGAAAGGAGCCTCTAGTTGTGTTTGACTCCTCATGAATTGGCCCAAGCAAACCAACTCAGTCCTGTTAAATCAGTCCAGGCTTGAATTCTTTCCATAGTGAATCTTCTGTGGAGATTCCCTCTGCTGTCCCTTGAAGGGAGACTAGCTTCCTGCAGGGAGAGGATAATTCCTGGTGTAAAAGGGAGCCCCGTGCCAAGCAGTGGCAGAGATATTCCCCACTGCCTACTTCATGAGAGCATCTTGGCCTTTCCCCACCTTACTCTGCTGGTTTGGATCTGCTCTTGTCTTCCAAAGAGCTAAAGTGAGGTGGTGTCAGCCTTGCTGTAAAGGAAAAAATATACTCCAAAGTCTTGTGATCCCTTCTGAGCACTGTGTATTGGGAAGACCCAAATGCCAAAGATGCTGATGTTGGAGCAGACTACCTGTGCTTAGCAAAGGCTCCGAGCAGGCAAGGAAGAAAGATTGACTGGGAATTAACTTCATGGCTCAGAATACAGCACCCAAAACCAACCTCTGCCCCCAGCCAATATGGTTTTGAAGGGTTATTTAGCTGATTGTAACGGGAGTGGCCAGAGCAGCTATGGAGTGTGGTTTGTTCTCAGAGTTCCACTGGCAGGGACAGGGGCTAGCTCATTTCCAAGCCCATATCCACCTCTGACTTCTCCTGGTTTCCGTCCCTATGGTCAAAATAACAGGAAATGTCTTGACTTGTGTTTCTGATGCACATCCAGGTGCAGCAGTACCAGCTAGTGCTGGATTTCAAGTGTTCTTTTTTACCTCCAGGTGAAAACTAGGAAAATGCAGAATTGAAAGACTTGTCAGTGCTGCAAACCCAGCACTTTGTGATTGTGAAGAGGATAACTATTGTCAAATTGTGAATAAAGCCAGTTCTTACCAAACTTATTTAAACCCCAAGCTGAACGTCCAAAAGTACGTAGAGCTTCTTCTTTTAAGGTGTGATGAAGTTGGTCTCTGGGTCTGCTATAATATTGTTTACCCTGTGACAGACTCCTCATCAGATTCCTGTTAGATTGGAAATGATTTGAAGGCTGTGTTCTCTTTCCAGTCTGGTGTGAGCAATTTGCTGCTACCCCAAGGCTTGGCTGAGCGAAGCTCCGTGCACGTACCTCCTCTTGTGTAAGTAGCAAACAGTAGCTTGGCTAAAAGCATGATGAGATGAGGGGAGCTGTTGTTTGGAAACTTCTTTTGCTGTTATTTTCCTTTTCTCTGTCTTCACCTTTCAGGAAGCTATTTGTGGAAATAGTTTGCTCTGCATGAGATGGAGCACTCTGCAGTCTGCTTGGCCAGAGCTGAGAGACTGTTTTCTACCCAAGAATGTATTTTTACCTTAAAAAAAAATGGGGTTTGGTTGTGTTATGATGATGTGTTATGAGGTGACCAAAGCTACAGTGGTGGTTTTCCACACAGTAGTACTACTGCTGCAAGTGTGGGAATTGAAGGATCTGGTTTACAAAAAGCTGGAAAGAGTTAGTCCCTTTTATAAAATAGCCGTTGCTGTAGTAAGGGAGGAGAAAAATGTCCTTCCCACCGTGGAAAAAGGCTTCTGTTACCTCTTGGTTTATCTGACCTGCACTGGTTAATCCAGTAAAATGTCAGGTCTCCCTTTTAAGCCTTCCCTTCATTGGGGTTGGCCATGAGTTACGTGAGCAAACTGATGTTCAGGGGCACATCTTTCCAGTGAATCTTGGTGGCAGTTGTGGAAATACCAAAAGGGGGCTGACGGGAAACCTGGAAGAGGGGCTTTGGACAAGGGCCTGCAGGGACAGGACAAGGGGAATGGCTT